CTTTCCCCTAGAGAAGGTAGTACTTTGGATTCTTTGAATATGGGCCTGAAGGCAATAGTGAATGAAAATCAATACCACAGGAGAGGTGTTGATCTAACATTTGGTGGGGAGGGGTGTTTTTCCCAAGCTGTTCAGTTTCCCTGAATCCAGTATGAGTGGTAGAAGGGAAGATCACAAAGCTGCCCTGAATTTTGGAACAACGGCATGCACGTGTGTGCATGAATTGTTTAATATCAAAGAACAGATTGTTGCAAATTTTAGAGTATCACAATTTGCTTTGTATTAGACATTCGTGATGACTCATTTGTTCTGTGAATTATCTGTGGTTTGTTAACATTTTCATAACAATTTTTGTTGCTCCAAATTATTTGGCAAGTCAATTTCTAGGAGTAGCCCATGGTCTCCAGATTGTTTCCAAGCAGTTCACTGAAGCTATATGGAACTCATTATTGTTGGCTAATTTTACTTCTGTACATATATGTAGATCACTCAACTTTTTGACTATGTATACAAGGTTCCTTGGGTGAATCTGATATCTTTTATTAGACCAACCCAAATAGTTGGAAAATAATTATTAAGCAAGCTTTCGGCTTCAAAAACCCTTCATCAGGCTAAGGAAGTTTCAGCAGTTTCTTGACTATGTATAGTACTTTGTGTACACTAAGTCCTTTGTGCAAGTATTCACATTGAAAGTCAGATTTCTATAAATATTTCCTGTTCAGCTGTAAACACAAGTGTAAAATACAAAAGTTACCTTCAGTTTTTCATCCCGTAAAGGGTGCTATGTCCTGGCACCTTTGAGATTTCATATTTACAGTACTGACCCTGTCTTCCATAAAATCTCAGGTATTTGTGCGCCTCTGAATTTGGCCAATATGTTAATATAGAGTTAAGATTGTGAAAACCTTCAATTGTGCTTTTCTTGATTTGGGACTGTTGAAGGCACTGCTTTGGCAACTATCTCTGGAACTCTGGGAAATAATTGTGTGCTGGTCACCTACATTTGTAATTCTGATGTAAGTCCGTTATGGCTGTATGGTAACAATATGTTTGAATGTCATTGCTAGTACTAGCTAATTATAATTCTTGATCCTTCAGTTTTCTTCTTTATTATTCCTATAAGATGATCTCAAGAAATCCTACGTGCATTTGCAAAACAGTCTTTAAGTGATTAAAATTTTCTGCCTTTCCACGTGGTAGATTTCTGTAAAGTCAAAGAGAATTCAAACCCACTAGATAATCCAATTCAGGATTGTTTTTCAAAATATTTGATGCGGAGTTGGCATTCCAGCTTGATGGGGGGTTTTTTCCTTGTCAATGGGTATGTCTATACATGCATTAGATCCAGAAGCAGTTTACTCATGAGTAAACTACTGACAAGTAAACAGTCCCAGGCAGGTGCCTACACACGTAGAGAAGTGGGAACAGATTTGTTGCTAATGGCAGCAAACTGCTCTCACTTCCTGAGGCCCTGCAATGACAGCAGGGGGAGATCTAGGCTTCCTCTGGGTGCTAGCCCAGGGCCTGGCAGGGAGCACTTGGCCAGGAGATAGCTGTCTTCTGGCCAGGGCTGGGACAATTCTCCTTACCTGCTGCTGGTGTGGGGACAATGTACCCCTGCCCCAGCAGCAGGGAGCTCCCAGCTCCAGCTCCCTGATCGGGGCAGGGGACTTGGAAAGAACTGCAGGGGAGGGGCAGGTACCAGCCCCCTGCCCCAATCTGCCAGTGGGGTAGCTAGTAGGGCTGTGTGAAACAGCACCATTTTGTTTCAGTTTCTGTTTTGCCATTTCAAAAAGACAGTGTTTCATTTCCTTTCCTTTTGAAGCACTATTCCATTTTGTTACATTGAAACTGTTTCACTGTTTTGATACATTTTGACGTTTTGCCCGTAGGCTATAATGGGGAATCATGAAAATGCATGTAACTTTGTCATTTCATGCCTGATTCAGATGAAAATTGCAGGGATGGTAGCCCCTTCTGAGGGCATGAAGCCTGCCAAGTGTCAAGGAGATAGGTATAGAGGTTTCTGGGAAACTGTACCTCACATTGCTCACAAGCAAAACTTGTGCGACTTGCCATCCGGTCTCCGCCTGGGCCTCCAAGCCGCCAGATCTGCTCAGAATGACAGGAGGCTGCCACCTGGGACTGGTGCTGGGCAGTCCTTGCAGCGCAAGGAAGATGGGTGCTGCCACTGGCCCCAGGCAGCAACAGTAGCCTCCTGTCATCCTTCCTGCATATCTGGGGGTCCACATCCCCAGGAGGGCTGTGGGGCTGTGCTGGACTCCTCCTAGAGGTGTGGGCCCCCGGATCTGCTCAGGATGACAGGAGGCTGCCACTGCTGCCTGGGACTGGTGCTGGGCTTAGCCCGTGCCCAGCGCTGGGAAGACTAGTGCTGCAGCTGGCCCCCAGGCAGTGTCGGCAGGCTGCTGTCATACTGTGTGCAGATCTGGGGGCCTGCACCCCCAGGAGGAGTCTGGCAGCACTGGGAGGGCAAGTTGACTAGCCCCATGGAGCTCAGCCCAGTGGCAGGAGGTGGGGGAGAGCCAGGGATGCACTCCGAGCAGCTCTGCCAGCCCCACGGACTAAAGCCCTGGCTCTCCCCCGCCTCCTGCTGCTGGGTTGAGCTCCATGCAGCTTGCAGAGCTGGTCAGAGCACAGCCCTGGCTCTCCCCCACCTCCTGCCGCTAGGCTGAACTCCAACCAGCTCTGCCAACCCCACGGAGCTCAGCCTGGCGGCAGGAGGTGGAGCACAGCCCTGTCTCTCTTCCACCTCCTGCACCAGGCTGACTGGGTCCACCAGCCACACGGAGCTCAGTCCAAAGATGGGAGGTGGCAGAAGAGCCGGTGGTGGAGCCGCTCAGAGGGCAGCCCTGGCCAGTGGCTCTCCCCCACCTCCCGCCACCAGGCTTGTCTTCCTGGGGCTGGCAGAGCTGCTCAGAGTGCAGCCCATTAGCGGGGGGGGGAGGTGGGGGAGAGCCAGGGCTGTGCTCTGAATGGCTTTGCAAGCCCCATGGAGCTCAGCCTGGTGGAGAGAGGTGGAGCGCAGCCCTGGGTCTCCCCCAGCTCCTGCCACCAGGCTGCTTCAAAACTTGAAATGTTTTGATACTTTAAAAACTTTGAGTGTCCTCATTTCATTTTGAAGCAATTTCGAAGTCTTTTGTCTAATTTTGATTTCACTGTTTTGAGCTCGAAACAGCTTCAAAATGAAACACCCATTAAAATGTTGCACAGCCCTAGTAGCTAGCAGTGAATCCCCAGTTGGGTGGGGATTCCCTGTCTAGCCGGGGTCTCGCTGTTAACTGCCCCGCTGGGAGATCGGGGCAGGGGAATGGGAACTGCTCCACGTCTGCAGCTCTTTC